CAGTGCTGACGCAACCCAGGATGGGGCACTGGATCGATTCAAGACCAAAATAGTACTCAGTTCCAACGGACGGAACATGTGGCTCGGCCCAGTACTTTACACGTTCTCCTGCAAAATAAACGTTGACTTTTTCCCCTTTGATGAACAGGTGAGCATGTTTAAAGGTTATTATATAATAAGCCAAATTATTTTCGCATTTTGATTGGTTCTTGCTTATGTTGTATTGGAGGACAAAAAAAACAACAAAAAAAACAAGTAGATTCCATGTTGCCGTGCATCTGTTCAGTAATAGATAACAGAAGACGTCAAAATGTGGCAAGAACACCGGTGACACACTCGGCTATCGTCAGGTGTACCACATTTTTGTTCTTACCACATTTTGATGTCATCTGTGATCTATTACTGAACACTCGCATGGCAACGTCGAATCTATTTGTTAAATAGACCTCGCGAGTGTCAGGCTTATAAGCAAGGATACTCCTACTAGAGAATGCACTGATGGATCTATTGCAAATCGTTATTTTTTTTGTTGTTCTTCAGTTGTGTTCCATGAAGTTCGGTTCCTGGACATACGATGGATATCGAGTCGACGTTCAAATGGAAGCGGAGGAAGCTGACGTTAAGATGTTCGTCACCAATGGAGAGTGGGATTTGATTGGTGTCCCTGCTCAAAGGAATGAAATCATTTACGTGTGCTGTCCTGAACCTTATCCTGACGTCACATTTACAGTCCATATAAGGAGGCGTACCAAGTATTATTACGTCAACCTCATAATACCATGCGCACTAATAACATGTAAGTTTTTTGGAATGGGTTATGTTTGGTTACGCAAGCAAATCTGTCAAACATGCCTGCTACCAACAGTTTCTTCCCCATTTTCTTTTTCTCCTCCACTTCCTCCTTGTATGTTCCATTTCACATTACAATTGTGTCCTTTTGTTTCTAGCTCTGACGCTGCTGTCGTTCTTCCTCCCCCCTGACTCGGGTGAACGCATCACACTGGTAATCACCAACCTCCTGGCCATGACTGTGTTTATGTTGATAGTGGCAGAGATCATGCCTGCAACTTCTGAAGTTATTCCACTTATAAGCATTTACTACACTGGTATCATGTTTGAGGTGAGCTAACAATTGGAAACGTTAAAAGACGGGTCTAGACACACGCTCATTCTACAGAGTCCATAATTCCTGATTATGTCATATATAGTTAGTTTAATTCCACATTGCTGCTTGATATAATCCATTTTTATCCTGCAATTAAGCATTCCAGTAGAGTACCATGCCAGAACCGAACCAAAGTGAATAAAGTGAATGCAGTTCTACAACTGAGGGTGGAAAGTTTACTGCACGAATAAAGTGCCATAATAATGTATAAAAGCAGGCAATCACTTTCTCGCAAACTGCGCACCTACAACGAAGGAACAACTCAAACCACGAGGCCATATTTTCTGTAGTTCACCTTAACACTCGCTCTATTCTGAACCGCCTAGTATTTCTAACAATTTTAACTCCTCTTGTTTATGGTTCAGGTCGCCCTTTCCTTGGTTGCAACCTGCATGGTCCTTAAATGCTATTACAACAATCCTTCAGTCTCGGAGATGCCCACCTGGGTTAGAACTATTGTCCTGAACTGGCTGGCAAAAATTGTGCGCGTCAAAGTTCCACCAGGATTGATAAACGTCATTGAAAAACACGTGCAGGAACAGGAGGAGGTTCTGGAGGAAATCCAGCATGAAGGACAGAACTCCATCATTCAACCAATCACACCCCGCGAAAGGTGTTTCACTTCAGTGGGAGATTTCTATTCTAAATCTCGAGGCAGCCTATTCTCTGCTGGACGAAACCGGTGTCGGACCTTGTCGTCTGAGAGAGATTCTAGTCTCTATGGAGAGACTTCGTCAACTCTTGGACTCCCCAGGTTGTATAACCTACAATATGCCAGCAGTTTGCGATCCATCAACGAAGCGCATCCAATAACGAGCCCTAATAATGTCCAATCGTCCTTTGAAGCCACCATGAAAGAGATGCTTCTGAAGCTCGACAATTTATTGAAGAACGTGCGAAGGCTGGTACATGTCGTGAGACAAAATGAAAAAAATGACATCAGGAAGGAGGAATGGAAAATTGTCGCCTCCGTCATCGATGCCTGCTTTTTCTGGGTGTTCATGGTGACTTTGTTTGTTTCGAGTCTTGTGATTTTTCTACAGGCTCCGAGTTATTAAAACGTCTCAGGATAAGTGAATATAAACAAACCAAAAGATACGCAAACGACTGAACTGATGTATGGAAGGACGCATGATGGAATGAAGGCATGGCCGACTGTCTGACATACTTACCGAATGAGCGACTGACTGACTGACTGACTGACTATCTGAATGACCGACTGACTGACTGACTGACTGCCTGACCGACCGAACGACCGACTGCCGGTCTGAATGACCGACTGACTGATTGACTGAAATTCAGCCAACGGGGATTTTTTAAATTAGTTTTTACGATGTTTCCCGGAGCTGTACATAAATGATATAATTATTTGATTGCGTAGAAAAATTGCAAAGTTTATTGACTGTTCAATAGAGAGGTACAGAATAGCAAATAAAAACACTTTTTCCACTATTACGTTTCGGTCTGTTCACTCTCTTATATTCTCAGTAGTTGTACGAAAGGGCGAAATTTGTTAGCTTTTAGATTTAATTCAAAGCATGATTACTCAGCGGCAAAGATGACGACGAGAGCTATTATACTAGCACACTAATCCCATTCTTACTAAAGTTTCACTAAACGAGATACGTCCCTTACTGTATATGACTGAGAAAATGACTTCATTGTGACTGGCAGAGAGAAAGCCAATTTTTAATTTGCGTTGCAATACAAATTAATGCGCGCTTATAGCCTCATTGAATTAGCAAGCAATCAAGGATTTATTTGAGAATTCTTTCCACTTCCAGAAACCTTAAGGCTCGAGCAAGTTTAGGGGAATTTTCACTGAAATATCACTTGTGGTATAAATCATTGATAATAATTATTGCACTCGGATTCATAGGATTACCTATTCTTAACTTGTGATGAATCCAAAACAAAGCCGTGTGGTGAGAAATTTGTAATCAGTGATTACCAGGATTCCTAATCTCAGCGGTACGAAAAATTAGCGCCTGGGAAGGATTTACCCACTCGTCCATACCTCCAATCTCAGATCCAGCATATTTTCATTTGATGCGCTATTTATTTTTTTAGCCCATCGATAACTACATAACAACAACTTTGACCTTAATTCAGTGCAAGTTTTCGAAAAATTACGAGTAGTTTGTTGACCCTTGATAGTACACTGACGCGTCGGCAAGATATGGGCTGACATCAACTTGAAACCGAACTCTTGTACATATTTCATATTTCGAGGCTTGCTTGCATAGATATCGTGAGAGCAACAGCGCCTGAGCTCCAGAGTTACTGAAGTCTGAAGCACATATTCCGCCCGCCTCGAGGATGAAAACGCTCAAACACGAAATCTTGAAGGGCACGTTTTTGAGCTTTCTGTATTTGACAACCGTGACATCTTCTAATACAGGTAAGAGAGGTTCATTGTCATCCAGGAGTCGGTTAACGTCAGTATTGCATGCACGTTGTATTGTACATGTACACAGTGTAAAATCTCAGTGATTACACACTAGCATTTTCAACACATCACGAACAAGCGCCGTTGCAAGGTTTCTTGATTGTGATCGATTTAATCGTCGATCAGTGAAGTGTTGTCGTTGCTCTTATACAAATGATGCAAACTTCCGGGGGAACCTGACTTATTCTTGGCAATCTTCATAGCCGTTCCCATTTTCTAAACGTGAAGGAACGTTGTTTCTTGGCAAAGGAAAGGTCACCTCACAGACAGAAACTGTTTTATTTCACTGAGTGGTTTCTCAACATTGAATCATTGCCAAACCAATTCTTAACTTTTCCGACCTTAAGTATCAAAATACAAGTTATAACTGTGCTATAAATATTCCTCGTATGAAGTCTGGTTTGCCGATAATACTGTGATAACCTTGGTCGGCTTTTCAGACTGGTTTGTCCAAACAGATAAACTTGATAAATCAAATTCCTTTGCTTTGTCTTTGTCTTGACTGTTGTAATGCAGGACAATGCGGCAATGTTCAAAAAAGGAAATTAAATTTAGATGCTAACTTGCGGTCAGTTGTATATATAAATTTATCCAATGCAGGTAAGTTAGTAACATTTTGAGCAGAAAAGGTTTTAAACATGCATCATATCATACTATTGCAAAGTGCTAATTAATCGCTTTTTCAGTTAATTGCTTCTCTAGTAATTTGTAGTCACTTTCATTTATCCGTTTGGCCTGATAAGGCACCAAGGGCAACGGAATACCGCATTTTAATCAAAACTTTCCAGAGTCAGAATTTTCTTAGACGCCAGAGGGCCTTGACAGGCGAGAAAAGTCGGCGACATGTACAGTAGCTCTTTGGCTGCGATTGAAAGTTGAATTGACTGTGATTGAGTCAGTTCTGCTAGAAATTATTCTGACAAACACTGATTTATTTATAAAAAGTAAAGTGTATACTTGTAATGTAAGCCAGGCTCGTTTAGGGGCTGGTTTGGTTCAAGGGTAAGTAAGAAAATGGCGAGCTTCCCAATTTTAGATCAGTTAACAAGTCGTTCATATACTTCTAGTCGAGTGAAACGAGAGTGGGAGAGAGTGACTACTTCATGGATTTAAAATATCTTCTGTTGCGTTTCTCTGTCAATCACTACCCTAATCAGGTTCAATCTTTGAAAAACGATACAACTTTTAGAACAACCAAACCTCCAAAACACGAAGTTGGTTTGCACGTAACGTCCAACCGAGTTGTAAGGACTGGCGATCTGAGAACAACATGGTCGCGTTTGTATTGAAAAGAGCCGATGAACCGTACTGTTTACTCTCCTTTTAATCTGAAGTTCATTTAGAGAGCAAAACCTGATAAAGCGTGAGAGAAAGTTTATTTTACGGAAAAAAAGTTTATTTATTATTTCCTCTTTTTGCTTTTCCTCAAAGGTCTGATAAGCCAAATAAATATTATTTTAGTATTTGCCAAGAGGAATCCCTAGATAAACTGTTGCAATCTTAGAATTGAATATGAAATGTGTTATGTTTAATCTTTCACTAAAGTGCAGCGTATTTATCCGTAAAATATATACCAAAAGTTATTTTACTGTGAAAAGTGAGTAAATAATGAATGGTAAAGTTCTGTTATGATTCTTTTAGTATTGCTTAAATACGTTAACTTGCCCTTGGTAGTCGTGCGAATTGCGC